GTATTACAACACACTAAAATACATATGTCAATTGTTAGCTATCATAGTATTGCAATACACCTAAAATACATATGTTAATTATTACTTATCATAGTATTACAATACACCTAAAATAGATAAGCCAATTGCTACCTATCATGATATTACAATACACCTAAAATACATGTGCCAATTGTTACCTATCATAGTATTACAATACACCTAAAATACATGTCAATTATTACCTATCATAGTATTACAATACACCTAAAATACATGTGTCATTTGTTACCTATCATAGTATTGCAATACACCCAAAATACATATTTCAATTATTAGCTATCATAGTATTACAACACACCTAAAATACATATGTCAATTGTTACCTATCATGATATTGCAATACACCAAAAATACATATGTCAATTGTTAGCTATCATAGTATTACAACACATCTAAAATACATATGTCAATTGTTAGCTATCATAGTATTACAACACACCTAAAATACATATCTCAGTTGTTGGCTATCATAGTATTACAATACACCTAAAATACATATGCCAATTGTTACCTATCATGATATTGCAATACACCTAAAATACATGTGCCAATTGTTACCTATCATAGTATTACAATATGGATATAATTCGTTTTCAGTCACAGTTATTCACTTTAACCACAGTAGGTTAGGTAATGCATCATACATAAGTCTCCACTGTATATCCACGTCACGTTTTTTGGCCCGACTTCTATATATTATATTCTATATACTTTTTGGTAATTGAGGATGATAGTTATTAAAAACAATATTTTCTTTTCTTTTTATTAAATTGTTATACAAGGTTTTAGTTTCCTGTTCTGCTACTGATGATTCTAAATTAGATGTATTATCTGGTTCATTATTAGTAAACTTTTCACTACTGCTAGTTAATCCTATAGCATTAACAATATGTTTAAACTATAGCATTAACAATATGTTTAAACTATAGCATTAACAATATGTTTAAACTATAGCATTAACAATATGTTTAAACTATAGCATTAACAATATGCTTAAACTATAGCATTAACAATATGTTTAAACTATAGCATTAACAATATGCTTAAACTATAACATTAACAATATGTTTAAACTATAGCATTAACAATATGCTTAAACTGTATTGTGATCGCAGTCACTAAACGTTTCAAACGCTCTTCATTTTGATCATTCTGTAATTGTGACGGAAAGATTGACCTTATGTTTTTCTATCTATTTTTTTAGTTATCTACAATATCTGATATTGTTATCACATTATTTATCAGCCACGAAAAATAACAAAATGGATATCCTTTATTATCTAATAAATAATAATTTAAGAAAAGGGGCTCTTTAAGAAGTGCTTGAACAAAATAGTTTTGAATTTCATTAGCTTGAAACTTTATAAAAGATAACTTAAACTGACAAATAATCTAAGACTTACGATTAAATTGTACCGAGTTCAAAGTTACCAATTCCGTTCTGTGCAGACTTAATATGTTTCAACAGAACTTAAACTATATGATCAAAAAGCACTGAAACTTGAGTCAGTTTTACGTAACGAATGTAAAATTTATTAAATCTTCCATGAAATTCTTATTATATTTATCTTAGCGTGAAAAGGCAGTGTGGAGATAAAAACTTTACCAATTTCTTAATACACTGTTTACACACTGCTTAAAGAGTTTATATGCATTACTTTTAAAGTTTCTTGACACTACTTCTGAAGAGGCCTCCCTATGTACACCCGGGTTTTGATACCCGTGGTGGGCAGAGCACAGATAGTCCATTGTGTAGCTTTGTGCTTAATTCCAAACAAACAAACAAACTTCTAAAGAGATTACGCAATACTTCGAAAAAGACTACACACTACTTTTAAAGCTCCTTCACACTACTAAAGAGATTACACACAACTTCTAAAGAGCCTACACACTACTTTTAAAGTTCCTTCACACTACTAAAGAGATTAAACACAACTTCTAAAGAGATTACACAATACTTCGAAAAAGACTACACACTACTTTTAAAGCTCCTTCACACTACTAAAGAGATTACACACAACTTCTAAAGAGCCTACACACTACTTTTAAAGTTCCTTCACACTACTAAAGAGATTAAACACAACTTCTAAAGAAATTACACGCTACTTTAAAGATTCTTCGCGTACTACTTTTAAAGCTTCTCAACACTACAAAAGAGACTACACACATCTTCTAAAGAGGATACACACTACTTTAAAGATTCTTTGCACACTATTTCATAAAGAAGCCACACACTACTTTTGAAGTGCCCTCAGTCTTAATCGGATTTGGTTGTGATTTAACGAAGATATATCGGCATATTTTAAATTTTCTGCGGTGCATTTAAAAATATTTATTGAACCAATGATCTAAATTTGTTTTTAAAATGTGAGATTTATAACCAAGAAATACCGGTTTGATTCTATGTATTTTACTAGTAAGTATCTCCCCAAAACTTTCCAATAATTGTTTATGCTTTTATCTCCAAACATTTTGTATTAATTACGAAATTATTTTACAATCAATGTAGATCACCAGGTGTCGCTCTGCCATTGTATTACTTATCAGTACGTTGCAAAATATATATATACATTTATATACAAGTTTATGTCGGTGCATATGGAGTGTTTTGGACATATTTGATTTGATTAAACAATTACTAACTCCAAAAAAAAAATGTTTTAAGTCGTTCAACGTTTTGTTTTTTAGAATTTTTGAGGAACTACTTTTTGCATTGACTGGCATACTGAGCCTTCATTTCCTTTAAAATGTCCCTCAGTGGCGCAGCGGTATGTCTGCGGACTTGTACTGCTAGAAACTGGGTTTCCATACCCGCGGTGGGCAGACACAGAAAGCTCTTTGTGAAGCTTCGTGTTTAGTAACAAACAACAACAACAATAGCATCCACCCCCTGTCGGCGAGGTTACCAATTAGTGTAGGAAGTCGTTTCTGCAGAAGTTAAAAAAATAACATTGTTTGGAGTTCGTAGTCGTATAATCAAATCAACATATAAATCATAACATTTTTTAAGGATGTGACTATACGTGTATTATAGACTTCGTTATCATCACGGTGTTTTCCAAGCCTTTGTGTTGTTGCTAGGAAACAGCCTCAAGGGATCCTGGCTAATTGGAATCCCACACGATCCATTATTGCTCCACCCTGGAAGCGGAGTTCTCGTCAAACAAGTACCATCTTGGATCCAAACAGGTTAATCAAATTTATTGAGTAATTGGCGCTCAAAAATTATGTTAATGTTTACTGAAATATGTCTTGAGTGATAAAAGGACTGTGTATGCTTGTAACCGAAACGGAAACCTTGACAAACAACGTCTTTAAATCTCTATAAGAAATATTGTGATAATATTGTCCTTCTTAAAATTGACTTTACTTTCTCCAGGGGGCGCAGGCAGCAGATATCACCAAGCCATGTGACAGCCACAACCAAAATAAAGTCGTGGTTGAACTAAATGTATCAAATCTTCGAGCAGCCTTGATTAGTGATTAAGTCTTAGGAGATAATTACTTTTTAATTAAAATAACTTCCAGAAACAAACGCACGAAATGTATCAAAACTATATTTTGACATTGCTTGGCGTTACCTAGGTAGTGTGATGCCACTGAAAATTGATCACTTTGGGGAAAGGTAAGTAACAGCAATTTCTGACGCAAAATATTCATACACTCATGATTTGTTAAGGTCGGGTATTTAGAAGTTCCAAGGCGGGGGTATATCCTCTACTTATGACCATAGAACATAAAGGAATATTGATGATCTTGGGGATTTAGGACCATCCAGAAAAAGACCCGCAACAAGTCGTACTCCAGTCGTGGTAAGCTTGTTTGATTTTTGAATTTCGCGCAAAGCCGTTCCTAATTTAGCAATGTTAAATTAGAGGGCAGGCAGATAGTCAACACCACCCACCGCCAACTCTTGGATTACTATTTTACTAATGAATAGCAAGATTGACCGTCACATTATGATGCCTCCACGACTGAAATGACGAGCATGTTCGTTGACAAAGATTCGAATCCGTAACCTGCAGATTGCAAGTCCAGCGACCTAACCACCAGGCCGTTCGTGGTAAGCAAAGTATGGCGTATTGTAACAGGTGAGATACCGCAAATGCAAAGGTCAGTGGCAAAAGCAACAGTGCACAACATAATCAAGAAGAATCTCTGTCTGACAAAAATATCAAACAATGTATGGGTTCGCTAAGATGAGGCTTCCAGTCATACCTTCCATTCAACCGTCCCCACAGAATGAAACAGATATTCATGTTCTTCTACACAAAGACATACAGGTCAAGTCACCGGAAAGCAGCACCTTGTAGATTTATGCGTGATCACACTATTTAAATGGGTGCTAGGAAGTCAGTGACTTCGTACACTACATGTATTATACAAACGACGCAGGTAGGAGTGGTGTGTTTTGGACACAATAGCCGTTTGATGAAGCCTTTTGCAGTGGATACTATGCCATGGGGCTATTGTCAAAATGCACGGTCGTCAGATAGAGCATGACCTGACATGACGACGTGGATCGTAATGACGTGGTGAGGTTCCAAACTGGTTTTATTATAATGTACTCAACTTCTGTAATATTTTCTGAAACGTTTGAGAAATTAAAGACTTAACTAGTTTGAAGTTCAAATACAGCTTCCACAATGTCATTTGGGTTCCCTACCTCTTAATTCATTTATTATATTTATAACTCTACTAATATTCTTTAGGTATTTTTTATAATAATATTTTAATCATCTATGTTAAGTTCGAATATTCTTAATGTTGAGAATATACTATTGTTTAAGTAGATGTGCAATTTGACTAATGTTTTGAGAGGCAAACTGTATACCCAGCTTTACCATTGGTGAAAGACCAACAGATCCGGTGAAAGTCTACAAGTAAAAGTGAATTTTAAGTCCACAATGGACTTTCTTTTTGAAGCTCTTGTAATGTACTTTAAATATCTTACCTTAAAAGTTTTGCAGGTTATTTTCAGGAGACTGCACTCTTCCGTAATTTTTCTCTTGAAAACGTGGAAAACACGCATGCGTTGTCTAGAAATGAGCAAAATATCTGCGAGGATTTTTCAGTGGTGTTCATTCTCCAAGAAAATTGTTGTAAGACAGGAAGAAGTAGATTGTAAGTGATGAGGTGTAAAAATCGAGTCGAGAAACTTGGTGGAAATGGAAGCAGTTTTGTCACTTTTTGTTCAAAGCAGCCCATTTCACAGTAGAGATGTGGTCAAGATTTCTACTGTCTGAATTTGGTACATTTAATGCGTCAGATTTAATAATAATCTTGCATTTTGTTTTTACGGAATACTATATTCTATATGAAGAAGTAGGAAATGTCCTAAAAATATTTTAATTTCGAAATACTTATCTAATTCAGGCTTAAGCACTTATACTAACTCTACTATAAACTGGAAGGTAAATGGTGTGAATCAGAAAAGAGCGGGAAACTCTAAATAGTATGTATGTATGTTTTCTTATAGGAAAGCCACATCGAGCTATTTGCTGTGTCCACCGAGGGGAATTGAACCCCTGATTCTGGCGTCGTAACTCCGAAGGCTTATCGCTGTCCCACCAGGGGACCTTAAATAGCAGCAATATCTTTATTCACCGCATTGTCTCTAGATATTGCATTAATGTGTATTTTGGTTGTTATGGGAAACATAATTGTTTTTATTGTGGTGTGAGTTTTCTTGAAACTCAGCTATTTACAATAGCTACTTCAGTAACGATATACGGGTTATTCTATAAAATATTTTTACTTTTCAATATATGAGAAAATTGATATGAATTTAGTTTGCTTTTGGATAAGTTAGCATGCTAAGTTTGGTCTGGATCGGTCAACTCGTGTAGGAAGATATGCGTCCACAGACAGACAAATAGTTTCCTAGATATTGGATAATTACTGCACCAGTATGGCTAAATACGTATAGCGCATACGTGAAGAACGCCTTTCCATACTTTTTCTACATAGCTGAGCTGAATAAAATATTTCATAATACAATGTTTTTCAGAATTAGTTCCCGTGATAATACCTGTCGCGTTATTTCATTCGAAGGCAATGAAATATATTGGATATCGGATCGATTAAATCCAGTAGAATATATTCGATATCAGATGAAATATATTGGATATTGACTCTTTTGAAGGTAATGAAAGATATTGGATATCTGATCGGTTGAAGGAAATAAAATTTATTGGATATCGGCTTGAAATCAATGAAAGATATTGGATATTGGCTCGTTTTTAAACAATGAAAATCATTGGAGATTGACCCGTTTGAAGGTAACAAAAGATACTGAATATTGGCTCGTTTAAAGGCAGTGAAAGATACTGAATATTGGCTCGTTTGAAGGCAGTGAAAAATATTAAATATTGGCTCGTTTGAAGGTAGTGAAAAATATTAAATATTGGCTCGTTTAAAGGCAGTGAAAGATACTGAATATTGGCTCGTTTGAAGGCAGTGAAAAATATTAAATATTGGCTCGTTTAAAGGTAGTGAAAAATATTAAATATTGGCTCGTTTGAAGGCAGTAAAAGATGCTGAATATTGGCTCATTTGAAGGCAGTGAAAGATATTGAATATTGGCTCGTTTGAAGGCAGTGAAAGATACTGAATATTGGCTCGATTGAAGGCAGTGAAAGATACTGAATATTGGTTCGACTGAAGGCAGTGAAAAATATTGGATATCGATTTAAATAATGAATATTGGCTCATTTGAAGGCACTGAAAGATATTGAATATTGGCTCGTTTGAAGAGAGTGAAAGATATTGAATATTGGCTCGTTTAAAGGCAGTGAAAGATATTGAATATTGGCTCGTTTGAAGGCAGTGAAAGATACTGAATATTGGTTCGATTGAAGGCAGTGAAAAATATTGGATATCGATTTAAATAATGAATATTGGCTTCGCGTTTCGCATGGAAAAAAACTCAGTTTTTCAACACTGTTTTGGTACAGGGTGATTCATAAACTAGTACTGACAAGTGGCCAAAGTTTTGGCTGAGGGAAATGTTGGATCCCAGTTGTTTGTAGTTAACTACTTTTATTTGGTGTCCTAGTCGTGACTTAGTATTTTTGGACTACGGATTCAATTCCGTTATTCACTTCAGATAAAGTTAATAATGTAAGCTTTCTAGTTTGAACAAATTTGTGAATAAGTTTCACATTATCTTTTAAAACTACTGTTTCATACCAGACTGTTGTAGTGTAAAATACAAAATATGCCTTAGTGGAGTTGAATATGTCGTACAATTTGCGGGGGGGGGGGAGGGTAATCCACGGATGACGATGTTATTCAGTGTTTATGAAAGTTATTCATTTTAATATTAGGAACTGCTGTGAGAACAATTTTATGAAGCAAACAACCATCTATTATTTGGAACACGGAAGGATTTTCTTTTTCTTAGAAACGTTTTTGAAAAGTTTCGAATTTTGTTACTATGATAAATATATACTTTTTTGAAGAAAACATATATCATTCTTTAGTTTACATTAATTCTTTAGTTTTCTTTAGATGCCAGTCATGTATATTATTAGCATTTTCCTGATTAGGTAAATTAAAGATTTGATCGAACCTAGAATACCAACGCGTAATGCCAGCCAATCAGATATTCTCCCAAATTCTATAGGCCTTGGTTGGGATATGGAATTTTTTTGCGTCAGATTGCAAGTTTTCTGCATGTTTTCGACCGTTCTCCAACGTAAGGTTTCTGCTATAACCAAGAATCATTAGTTAGATTTTCTCTTATTTAGAGTAGTCCTGTCCACTCTTTCTTAAACTTGATTTCTAGTCTTCTTGTTTTTTAATTTAGTTACCTTATTGATTATAATTATTTCAAAACACTACTAAGATTCAAAAATAATTATATATATTTTCTAGGACTACAGAAAATACTTTTCATTCGAAACAAAACATCACAACGTTTTAAATGCATTTGAACTTTGCAGGCGATGAGACTAAGTGGTTCTCAAACGCTTTGCCAAAATTATCTTAAATTTAGCCCTGTGATTTCTTCTAAACTTGTACCAGAGTTTTGTACTTGTACCCGCCACTTAGTTTAATTCTTCGTCAGTAGGTGACTCCACCACAGAAGCTTGAGCCATTTATTTTAGTTTTATATACACTATCCTACCAAAAGTCATGGGACACGGGTAGTTACGAATAAAACATGTTTTTATTCCAATAAATTA